ATTCACCATTCCTCTTTAGCATTTTAGTGGGCTTTTTGGAATGCGTTCTGCATGTTCATTGCTCTTGGCCCAAATCCTTGGGGTCATCCTTGATTTTTACTGCTCTTTCGTACCCCCAAACAAATCTTATTGTTTCTGTCTTCAAAAGATGTCCTAGTTCTGACCACTCTTCACCTCTTCTACCACTGAAGGCTTTCTTCAGGACTAATGTGCAGATACTTGGTTGGGTCCCTGCTTCCACCCTGGCCCTTAAAGTCTGCTATCCCTATAATGACCAGTGTGGCCTTTAAAAGTATATGTCAAGCCCTGGCCGGTTTGGCTCAGCAGTTAGAGCGTCGGCCTGCGGTCCAGAGAGACCAGGGTTTGGTTCCCACTAAGGGCGTGTACCTTGGTTGCAGTTTGTCCCCAGTCCTGGTTGGGTCGTGCAGGTGGCAGCAGCCACTCAATGTGTCCCTTTCACATCGATGTTTCTCTCTCTCTCTCCCCCTCCCTCTCTATCTGAACAAAATATCGAAAAATGTCCTCGGGTGAGGATAAAGAAAAAAAAAGGTATATGTCAAGCCCTGGCTTATGTGGCTCAGTTGGTTGACCATTGTCCTATGCACCAAAAGGCTGCCTGTTCGATTCCTGGTTAAGGCAAATGTGCGGATTACAGGCTTGATCCCCAATAGGGACATACAGGAGACGCCAAATGGGTGTTTCTCTCTCATATTGATGTTTTTTTTTCTCCCTCTCCCTTCCTCTCTCTAAAATCAATATATATATTTTTTTTACTGATAAAAAATATGTCAATTCACATCATTCCTGATTTCAAACCTCAAATTACCTCAAGGAAAAAAGTCCTTATAGTAGTTTACAAAGTTCACTGTGATTTGCACAGCCCCTATTTGTCTCCATCCTTGTTCTCCCTTGTGCCCTCTGCTCCAGTCATGTCAGCCTCCTCCTCCCTCTCATATAGAGGGTCAGGGCTTTCCACCATTGGGGCCTTCTCCCTTGGATACTACTATGGCGTGCTTGTTTCTCTCTCTGCCTTTGAACCTCTGCTCAAATGTCATCTCATTAAAGGAAAGCCCTTCCTTGATTATCTTTCTAAAAGAGCAACTTCCCTTCCACCCTGGCATTCTATCATTCCCTTATTTTACTTTATTGTTTTATCCTCAGTGTTTACCACAATCTGTCATCTTATTTTGTCTTTGCCACTAACATGTAAGTTAAAGGATTTGAGTGGACTTGGTCTTTGTCACCACAGTGCCTGGAATGGTGCTCAGCACACAGCAGGGCTTGATAAAGATCATTGAAGACTCTTTGTGCCTCCTGGACTTGTAGGTCTATTTCCTTTACCAGGTTAGGGAAGTTTTCTGTCATTATTTTTTTGAATAAGTTTTCAGTTTCTCGCTCTCTCTCTTCTTCTGGCACCACCATGATGTGAATGTTGGCATGCTTGAAGTTGTCCTAGAGGCTCGTTATACTATCATTTTTGGGGGGGGGGGGGGGGGTTCTTTTTTTCTTTTTGCTGTTCTGATTGGGGGTTTTTTGCTTCCTTATATTCCAAATTGCTGATTTGATTCTTAGCTTTATCTACTCTACTGTTGATTCCCTGTAAATTATTCTTTATTTCAGTTAGTATATCCTTCATTTCTGACTGGTTCTTTTTTATGCTGTTGAGGTGAAGGGATTAAGAACTACAAATTGGTTATTACAGAATAGTTATAGGGATGTAAAGTACAGCTTAGGGAATATAGTCAATAATATTCTAATAACTAGGCATGTTGCTGGATGGGTGTGGGTTTTATTGGGGTGATTACTTATTAAGTTATGTAAAGTCTTATCACTGGGGTATACACCTGAAACTAATATAATGATATATATCAACTGTAATTGAAAATAAAAATGATAAAAAATAAAAATAATTAAAAATTAAATAAATGGAAAAAAAGATCATTAGAAACTGAGTGAATGCTTCATTTTGCTATCCTGTCCCAGTCTTCCCTGTCCTGGTATCTCAAAGGTTTGGAAGCATTGTGTAAAATAGACATGTTACACCAGGACAGAAGCAAATAGAGAGATCAGGGTAGAGAATGAATAAATCTTCCTAAGTGCCTGATAATTCCTCAGTGTTGATTCTGTTGAGGAAGTGAAACATGGCTGTCAGCAGGAAGTTCTGTACTCTATAATTGATTACTCCAATAACCCCCAGCCTGCCTTCACAGACGCCAGTGGATGAACAAGAGTTTGCTGCAGAAAGAAAGAGGCCCCTGAGCTGAGGATAAGCATCTTTAATCACCTTTCTTTTTTTCTTCTACTTGGGAGCTCCAAGAGCTGTACATACATACTTGCTTCCTTGGAAGAACAGTATTAACTGGCAGGGGTAGAATGCCCCCAGCAATCCATATTATTAAAGATGTTTCTTTAGATGGAAGGTGCTCTGCACCTTGAGTTATTAGTGTATTTTGGCAACAACTTTTGGAATAAGGTTTGCTCATCTTTAGTCCCAGGGGTGGTAAGGTTTTTTGTTTCATGGATGGGTATGTGCAGTTGAATGAGACAAAGTTCCTACTGCAGCCATGAGCTCCAGGGGTATTCACAGTGTTTGTTTGCTGCTGGTTTTCCCAAGGATTTTGGGCAATGATAAACATAGGGGACATTTTCTTCATCTGGCCCAAACATGTGCATCTACACCATGGCTGAGCAGAGTCTCTATGGGCATCTGTCCTTCTCGCAGACCCGACCTAAGCCCCTTAGAAAGCTGGAGATAGTTACTTCCTAGCATCCTATGCACGGGAGGGCACAAAATCTGATGTGGACCATTTGTGTCTTTTGCAATAGGAAAATGCAAAGCTAGTAGAGTGAATTAATTCTGAGACAGACAATAGAGCGGGGCCCTAGACAGGGTCATTGAAGAGACACAACTTTCCCTTGGAGCTTTTAGCAGAAGCAACTATGTTCTGAGCCCTCATAACTTCTGAAGCTTTTTTTGGACGACTCTTTATCTCTGCTCTGAGGGCAGTTAGAGAAGGTATCCAACTTTCCAGAACTTTCCAAAAAGGAGCATTTTAATCTGAAAGATGACTCCTTGTCAGTGCCTGGGCTTAGTGATGTCTGCTGGGGGGCCCAGCATATGAATCTGTAAATCTAACTCATCAGGACATGTGTGTGAGGAGGGAAAACACTTCCACAAGGGAAAATGCTATTAGTGGCCTTACTTCTGGTACTCTGCTTCTATTCACCTCCAAAATGGATATGATTTCTCTAACACTATAGAATACTATTTTCCTAAACTCATTTCTACCTCCTCCCATTAAATAATTATATTCATGAAAAGGGGCAACCCGGGGGGGGGTTGGTCTTAATGTGGGGTAACTTGTGAGTTGGGGGAACAGGCAGCAACACCATTTTTGGAACTATGTCTTGCGAGTATCCACATTTTGAAATTTTAAACAAAAGTCACTACAGGCCAGTGCTGTTTAGCTAATTGTCAAACAACAGAGAAACACACTGCAGCCAGAAAATCCCCACTGAGTATGGGTGACTGATTTCTCTGGCAGCAAATGAAAGCTTTGGCTGTTGCCCCCTAGGATTGGCTGAGCAAGCCAGGACTGAGCCCACTACATGTTGTCACCCCCCCCCCCCCACTGTGGGCACAGCATGTGTGTGTGGGTGGGAGGGGAGGTGCAGGCACCCTAACTCACAATTTTAGGCAGCTGCACACCTTACCCAGGGACACCACACCAGTGTAATTCATCCCACACCTCACAGCCAGGGTGATCCCAGCCTCAATAGACAATGATTTGGAGGCATTGTTTACAAGTCAATTTCCCCCTCTAAATAGGCTGTTATAAGAGTGGACCCTTCTGCTTGCCCAGGCTGGGCCCACCTGTCACTGGGACTTCCTAGCCAGTGGTCACACTGTATTGATCTTTTTAATCCCCCTCTCTTTGAAACACAGAGCCAGCTGATGTGGAGTTCCTCAAAAGAAAGGCTCTCCCACTGCCCCTACCTCTACAGGTAGCTGCGTGTCCAGGGCTAATTCCTCACTAAAAATTCTTAATTGGCTTTGGGGAGCCTTAAAGATCTCCCTTGTGTTTACAAAGTGAAAGGAAATGATGGATCACAAACTCCCTAGTCTGTCTTTATCTGACTCTTGGTGGAAATCAGGTGTATTTTATTTTTTAATTGTTTTTGAAACAGGACTGGAGGGTTTGAAAGTGGGTGGGGATAGTGTTTCACTTTAGTGGTTGAACGGCCAGAGGAAGGAAAGAAAAGCCCCAGAGAGACACCAACATTAGGCAAGAAACTTGGTGACTTAGTTTTTATTTACATGAAACATCTGCAATACAAAAATGTAAACTTTGATAGCTCATTATAATAGAATAAACTCTTTATGTACAAAAATACATTTTCATATGAATGAAGTATCTTGAATAAATTAAAGTACTCTCCAGCCCAGTGCCTGAATAGCTACGCAAGAGTCTCGGGTTCTTCCTAGACCAAGCCTGCAGTGGTGGGGGTCGGGATCCATAATGCATGAAGCCCACTCCTTGTCTCTCCTTTTTAAGCCTTTTCATTGTATTGTCAGCCGGCTCAAACCGAATTTTCATGCTCGTTTTTCTTCATTAGAGTTCTACAAATTGTAAAATTGACTTTTCACCTCGTCTTCAGGGGCTGATCTGTCCTTTTTCTAAATCACACTGAAGTGGTGGCTGGGGTCAGCTCTGAGCCAGCCACAAAGGAGGTTTTGTGAAGTTCAGAAAGTGCAAAAGGAAAGGCTGTCTAGGGGCAGGCAGGAGGGGGCCCAGGGCTGAGGGCTGGAGAAACAGACCAAGGGGGCAGCCATGGCGAGGGTGCAGCGACCTAACAAGTGGCTCAGGTATCTCACATCCCTTTAAAGCTCCTGCTTCCTCCCTCTGCCTGGACTGGGGGTCCCAAGGCTGCAGCTGGGGCTCCATCTACTACTGCTTGTTGCCTGGGGGGTCGGGGAGGTAAAGGTGTCCAAAAAGGCCCTAGTGGTAAGGGATGAAACAGGGCGTCGTTGTATGGATTAAGTCTTTGGGCAGGCCTGGGAAGGAGAAAAGAGGGTCTCCGAGACCGAAGGAGAAGTCTTCGGAGGTGGCAGGGCTGCTGGGGTCAGAGAGTGGAGAGGAGGCTGCGGCGCATGGGGAGGCGGTAGCACCAGAGCCCCAGGACTCTGCATCGCTGGCCGGGCTTGGGGGCCCAGGCAGGCAGGGGGCGCACTGCGGCGGCAAAAGGCGCTCCCGGGCACCGCCCCCGGGCAGCCCCTGGTCTGCCAGGCGCAGGGTCTCGGCCAGAGCCCAGATGTAGTTGTAGGCGAAGCGCAGTGTCTCGATCTTGGTGAGTTTGGTGTCGTCGGGGAAGGAGGGCAGCACGCTGCGCAGCGCGTCTAGCGCCGCGTTCAAGTTGTGCATGCGGTTGCGCTCTCGGTCGTTGGCCTTGACACGCCGGCTCCTGCGAAGTGAGTGTAGCAGCGCCTCGGAGCGCACCCGTGCGCGGCCCCTGCGCCGCCGCCGCTCCTGCTCGTCGTCCTGTGCCCGCGCAGTGTTGGACGCCCCGGGAATCCCGGGTGTGCCCCTGCGGGCGGGCACAGGCGGCCCCGAGGAAGAAGTTGACGGTTGGAGCCTGGCACAGCCCTCCTCGTCGGTGAGGAAACCGGATAGGTCGCTGCTGCTGCTGGCGCAGTCGAGGTCTGAGAGGCAGGTCTCCAGAGGGGCTGGCATCTCTGCGTCGGGCAGGACCAACGGAAAGGTAGAGCGCTTAGAGGGCAGGAGCCCAGGCTGAGGGCAGGACCGCCGAGGCGCACTTACTTTCCGAACGACCCCGGCTTATTCTGCGCCCGTTGCGGGCACGAAGGCCTGGAAGGGCGCAGGGCGCACTGGAAACTTGGCCTCCCCTCCTCTCCTCGCCTGCAGGGGCCACGCTCCAGTCGGTCTCCCGAGTGATCTCGCCGGCAATCAGATCAGCTCGTGTGAGTACTGAGTGTGGCACACGACCGGCCTCAGGACCCTTTAAGTACCCAGCACAACAATAGACGCCCCCCTCCCTGGCCACCTCCGCCCCCGAGGCAGCCCTGGTGAATGGAGCGAGGCGGCAGGTCAGCCCCGTGCGGCGCCTGGGTATTTGCATAATTTATGCTCGCGGGGGGCCGCCCCAGCCCCTCCCCCCTCCCGGAGCGTGCCCGTAATTACCGCGGGCCAATCCTCGGCGTCTCGGCCCTGGAGCTGTCGCCCTGCTAAATCGGCCCCAGCGTCTCCAGGCAGTGAAAATGGAGGCGGGGGCGGCTGGCGATTAGCGGCCGCAGGCACACTCCTCTGGGGGCGGGCCGGGCGCCCCTTGCTGGGATGGGATGGGGAGGCGGGGCGCGGGAAAGTGTGAGCTGCAGCGAGTAGCGGAAACCTGGAGCCAGCTGGGATCCTGGCTTCGCTTCCTCTTTCAGGCGTTGGGACTTTGGCAAGTGATCTGACTTCACTTTCCCCGTCTGTAAAATGGTACTCAAAATCTACCTTGTTGAGGTTTATGTGAGATGTTCGTGGGACACTTGACAGGGTGCTTTTGTAAAGGACCACCAGATGAACGGTTTCGAGATGCAGGGCCCTCGAAACCCGGGAAAACCCTATCCAAATAGTGGAATGGCTCTGCTCACCTTCACCTGGGGCCGGGGAGGCTGGGAAAACTGTTCGGAAAGTATGTAAAGGAAAGGATGGTTTCCCAAGTTGGTGAAACCTTGGCTGATCTCCCCAACACCTCCTCCAACACTGTCGGAATCCCATTCCCCTGGGGAGCCCTTGAAGCCTCCTCTTCACCTCGACCTCCAGTTTGTCCTGCAGTCTCTTTGCTTACATCCTCTGAGGCCCCATCCAGTGGAACCCAGCTAGGGGACAGGACTTTCCTGGCACAGGGGGGAGGGTAGCAAGCCCCCAACCCCCATTTCTCCCCTTAGTGAAGTAAAGGCTCCTATTCTGGCAGGTTTTCATTCTGCATGTCAGGAGTTACTTTGGTCACCAATGCTCACTCTTGAGCGGTAGAGTCCCAGGCACCCCCAACTTTGTACTTTTGGGAAAACAGTCACTATTAACAGTACCAGATTATGGGGGTCGGGTCGAAAACAAAATAAACAACTTTTAGCAAAGTTTTACCCCTCTCCCTATGATATCTGGGTGGTGGCCTCAGTCCTTTATCTGGTCTGCTGTCATCAGAGCAGACTCTGCCTAGGACACTGTCCCCTTTCTGGAGAGGTGCTCTCTGGAGGCAGAGCCCACCTTGGTTGGCTGACTGGTACTTGTCTTCTGGCTCAGTGGACTCTACTCAGTCCTCCCTTCTGCTGCTGCACTCCACATGTACTCCCACCAGGTAGGGAGAAGGCCGGACATGGTCATATATGAGGGCTTTGGGTGTTTTAGAAGTCATAAAAAGTAGCTTTAGTCAGCTTAAGCAAGAAAGGAAAATTATTGATTGCTACTGGACATCTCAAGGAACCAAGGGCTGCTGGCATGTGTGTGAGCCCGCAACAGCCCAGGTGTCCTCAATCTGCTTTTTTGCCTCTGTTTCTCTCCCTGCTTCAGCTTCCCATGGCCTCAGTGCACTTCCACCAACTTGGATTTGATGACATCTCTGGACCTCTGTATTATTTCCCTGAGACTGTTGTAATAAGTTACCACAGACTAGGGGCCTTAAAACAACAGAAATTTAACTCTCACAGTTCAGGAGGCCAGAATTCTGAAATCAAATTGTCAGCAGGTTTGGGTCTTTCTGGAAGTTCTGAGGGAGAATCCATTCTGTGCCCCTCCTAGCTGCCAATGGCTCCTGGCAGTGCTTAGCATTCCTTGGCTTGTAACTGCACACTTCAATCTCTGCCTCTTTCTCCTTTGTGTTTCTGTCTCTTATAAGGACACTTGTGATTGGATTTAGGGCCCACCCCAATCCAGAATGATTTCATCTTGAATTCCTTACCTTAATTCCAGCTACAAAGACCCTTATTCCAAATAAGTTCACATTCTGAGGTTCTAGGTAGATATATCTTTTGGGGAGCCACTATTCAACATACTACAGCCTCTTTTCCAAATTCCTGGAGGAAAGAATCTGTTTGGTTGGGGAAACAGGTTCATCAGAGTGACCATTGTCATTTCTTGACTGCCTTGCACCTGAAGAGCCTTCCTATTGAGGAATTTGAATGTGTGAGCACCTCTTTCCTCATTTATGGCAATTAGGGTATGGGCATATGACAGTCACATGCCCCACTTGGAACTTAGGCAGTTCAGAGTACATTTGTTTTGTGGCAGCAACTGGTTAGGGTTAGGCAGTGACCAGTGGTAGAAGACGTGTCCAGGAGCCATTGGGTGTCTTGACCTAGCTCTTCCCTGTGCCTGCCTTCAGCTGTAGTTCTACACACACATACACTCCCCGCCCCCCGCCACATCTGTTTTCCAAATTTGGTTCTCCAGCCTTCCCATTGATTGCACAAGAAACCTCATAGTAGGTCTTTTCACAGTAGGGCTTTTTTGCTTGAGTTGGCCATGATTGATATCTGTGGTTTGCTAAATAAAAACCAAATTAAATGCTCAGGTTGCCAAAGCATAGAGACTCAGACAACCCATATACCATATTGTTGTCTATTCTGGACCAAGTACTTTTGCTAGACCCTGAAGTAACAGGGTGAAAACTTGGCTGATGGCGGCCAGGAGCTCTGAGTCTAGTAAGACTAGGCTTCAATACCAACAGAACCCTCAGAGATTTTCATCCATCTACTATACCCCATACATGGGAAACTGAGGTGGAAGATGGGGAGGTCTTTTCTCCAGGTTACCCCAGGGATCATTGGTAGTCAAACTAGGGCCAGACTCAGGAGTCCTTTCAGCCGTCATTCCATGTTTTTTTCTCACAATTAATCAATACATATACAGTGAGTGCCTGCTGCATGCTGCCCTGAGCCAGGTGTCTTGGAGAGTCAGACATACTGTAGTCTTGGGGTAGGAGAGACATGGCTACAGAAAGGTGACCTGCTACTGGCTGAGAGAAGTGCCGGGGGTCCACTAAGAGAACAAATCTAAGGAACACTGTGCACCCCCCCCCCCCCGAAAGGGAAGGGGTGGTCAGAAGAGGCTTCCTGGCAGAGAGGGCCTTGAGAAGGCCTTGAAGGATGGATGGGATGTGAATAGACAGTCTAGGTAGGAGGGAGGAGTGGGGATGACTGTGGCAATGATCTGTTGGCCAGTCTGGATGGTCCTTCTGTTGTGACCTAGTGAGAAAAGGGTAGAGGGAAGTGTGATGGACATTGAATGGCTGTGTTGGCCTTCCTTCTTCCTTTCTTTCTCATCTTCCTGCTGCTCTTTCTGAGTAGGACTGTCACAGTTGTTCCAGTGGTTTACTGCACAAGGGAATCCAGGGCAAGTGGCGGCTAAAATCCAGCTTCTCCACCACCCGCCAAGCCATGCACTCTGATGTGGGACTGCTCTGCCCAGAGAATTGTGCTTTTCACATGTACACAAAGGCAACCTAGGAGCTAGCAGTGACTGTGTTCTCTCCTGCTGTTTCTTCCTCTGCCTCTGCCTTAGTGACCTGACCAGGTAGCATCTTAGCCTTGCCCTGCCTGCTCCTGGCTCTTGGGCATTGTATGTGGCAGCTCCTCCCTGAACATTAGTGCCTGTTGCTGGTGCTTTTCATAGGTGCATCTGAGCCTTGGGGTCCCTGCTTACAAGGGACTCAATAAGGATGAAGCTGAACCCTGGGAGAACGAGAATGAGAATGAGATGGTAGCTTAGGCTCAGACCTGCTCTCTATGAGGTTCAGAGTTTTCTCCTCAATAGAAAAAGGCTGGACCCTTCTAGGAGGTTATGTATCCTTGCTGGGGAGGATGAACGTTTCTCCCACTCTCCAGATCCCTTGATGCCTAGTCAGAGCACATCTGTGGAAGCTCTCATTCCCAGAGCACAATAGGATGCAATATGGGCATGTAATAAATCCAACACAGCAGGCGCCGAGGTGGTGAGGGCTGCACCAGGTGTTCTGGCTGCCTGATGTGTGAAACATCCAGCTGCCGATCTGCTAGGTGGGACAGATATCTCAAGGGACTGGATTAAACCCAAGTTTCTCACACAGTGGTCACCTGAAGTGGTAGTGATGATGGAAGGAGGGGGGCCTCCACCTCGATGCTCAGAATTAGAATCTCTGGAAATCTGGACCACATGCTGTGGCCACTATTTGCTGTTACCTAGAGTCTCTGTTTACCCCTCATATTGGAATAAGTATCTAGCTTTACCATTCACCCTCTAATCCTGTGCTTGCCCAAGCCCTTGAGGCAGATGGGGCATATTTCAGTGACAGCTCAGAGGTGCTACACAAGATGCCAAGGCTGGGACTCATCCTGTGGCTTTCCCTGCCTGTTTGACAGCTGGGGGAGTTAGGTGAAGGGAGGATTCTTGAAAGGCATGCAAGGGCCAGAAGGTTCAGAACTGTTCTGGGCAGCTCTGGAGATCCGACTCAGGACCACTGTGGAACTAGCAGTGTGCTCTCAGTTTGTTATTGAGGGGACCTTTCTGATGTTAATACACTGGTTAAGGAACCAGCTTTCTGGAGAGATGGGAAGGAGAAGCTCTCAGGGTTGAGCAAGGCATCTGATTGATGCTTTCAGGGTCTTTTGGGATTTTTGGTATATATTTTTTTTTAATGAAGAAAGGCTAAAAGAGAAGAAGATAGTGGCAAATTATAAATGTTTACATGTAAT